GTTTCACCATGTTGACCAGGATGGTCTCGATCTCTTGACCTTGTGATCCACCCGCCTCGGCCTCTCAAAGTGCTGGGATTACAGGCGTGAGCCACCGCGCCCGGCCTTGAATGTTATAAAGATATAATGATGAACAAGGTAAAGGAAGGCTAGATATCTGTTAGGTAAAGTCAAGCCTGGTTGGTTAACCTACCCTGGAGTTGGTAAAATATATTGGGGTCAGCCAGGAGGGAGGTCCCCCGTGTCATGCCGTGGGACATTGTGCTTGGTTCTGACCTTGTCATTTTTTAAATTGTGGGAAAAACCCATAGAATAAAATTTGCCATCTTTTCCATTACTAAGTGTACAGTTAAGTAGTGTTGAGTATATTCACACTGTTGTAAACCAAACCTCCAATTGGCAAACATTCACCTTGCAAATCAGAAGCTCTCTACCTATTAAACAACTTCCTATTTTCCCTCTTTCCAGCTCCTGGCAACAACCATTCTACTTTCTACTTCTAAGAATTTGACTACTATAGATATATAAGTGAAATCATACAGTTTGTTTTTTTGAGGCTGGCTTATTTCACCTAGCATAATGTCCGCAAGTTTCATCCATGTTGTAGTATGCATCAGAATTTCCTTCTTTTTAATGGCTGATATTTCATTGTATGGATAGACCACATTTTGTTGATCCATTCATTTATCAGTGGGCACTCGGATTGCTTCTAACTCTTTGCTATTGTGAATAATGCTGCTATGAACATGGGTGTGCAAATTTCTCTTAAGACTCTGCTTTCAATTATTTTGAGTATATATCCAGAAATGGGATGGCTAGACCATATGGTTCTATTTTTTTTTCTTTGTTTTGAGATGGGGTCTCACTTTGTTGCCCAGGCTAGATTGCAGTGGCACCATCATGGCTCACTGCAACCTTGTCCTCCTGGGCTCAGTTGATTCTTCCACCTCAGCCTGTAGCTGGGACTACAGACATGCACCACCATGCTCAGCCAATTTTCATAATTTTTTGTAGAGATGAGGTCTTGCTATGTGCCCAGACTGGTCTTGAAATCCTGGGCTCGAGCAATCCTCTTACCTTGGGCTCCCAAAGTGCTGGAATTACAGGTGTGAGCCACCGTGCCTATTTTTGATTTTGTTCTATTTTTGGTTTTGTAAGGAACCTCATACTGTTTTCCATAGTGGCTGCACTGTGTTACAATCTCATTAACAGAGCACAAATCTTCCAATTTCTCTGCAGCCTTGCAAACACTTGTTATTTTCTGTTTTGTTTGTTTGTTTGTTTGTTTTTTGTTTTTTTTTTTTAAATAGTAGCTATCCTAGGTTGGGCATAGTGGCTCAGGCCTGTTAATCCCAGCACATTGGGAAGCCAAGGTGGATAAATCACGAGGTCAAGAGATCAAGACCATCCTGGCCAACATGGTGAAACCCCATCTCTACTAAAAATGCAAAAATTAGCTGGGCGTGGTGGCTCATGCCTGTAGTCCCAGCTACTTGGAGGCTGAGGCAGGAGAATTGCTTGAACCCAGGAAGCAGAGGTTACAGTGCGCTGATGATCAGGCCACTGGACTGCAGCCTGGGCGACAGAGAGAGACTCCATCTCAAAATAAATAAATAAATAAATAGTAGCTATCCTAATGGGTATGAGGTGAAATTTCACTTTTTTTTTTTTTTTTTTTTTTT